ACAGTTTAAAAAATATTTCGTAGTATTGTTTTGTATTACTTTCACTGAAATTCAAAGTTTGGACTATATATCTTTCTTTAATTGAAACTCAAAAATAAAAGCCATTTAAATATGAAGAGCGTCACTTGTTTTCTGGGGTAAAGTTCTTGTGCAGTTGATTGAATTAAGGGGTTTTTTGATTTGTCCAAATTCTGTGATATACCTAGTTAATATCTGTAAAGCATTCTAATTATAGAGGTATGTATTTACTATAAGAATTTATAAGAAAACAACTAACGAACCAAATAATGAGAATGGAAACTGGTTAAATGGAAAGATATAAGTGAAGGTTGCAACAATAATGATCTCATATGGATGCGCATCTCGTTCTGTTTGCAGCCCGTCATCTGGATGTACCTGCATTCCAAGTAAATAATGGTGTTCTCACTGATACTTCAACCCAGAACCCATAGTTTCAAACGCCAAAGCATTATGCACAAGGTCACTGAGTGGTGACAACCACCTATCAGTTGTTATTTTTATAATTTATTCTGTATTTACAGTTGAATAATTTATGCTGAATGTATATGCTGGCTCCCTCTTGACATTTCAGCTCCTAGTACGAACTCTTTGACTGTCTGTGAAGTGTTAAAGATGTCATTTGGCTAATGTTGGTTAGTAGCAGAAATTATGGAGAATGAATTCGAGTGTTAGTGGAGGGACTATCAATCACTGAGGATTACAGTAATCGCTTCCTCTAAATCCCAAAATAGAAGAAATGAACATCCTAGATTCCACTGCTAGCCACCATCAACTAAATAACATAATTTCAATGTTTAAATATCTTCTCAGCGTCCATAATGGGAGACGACATTTCAGTAGAGACCAAGCGTTTAATTCCCATATGTTACAACCAACAGGAAATACAAAATAACCTAAGCAAATAATCAAGATTCATGAAGCGAATAATGGCACACAGACTGATTCTAACGGTATTCTGCAATGTAATCACACATTTTAAACCTTCTTCAAATATCCTACATGGTGTAAATCAGTTTCAGCGGTGAAGACACGATGTTTGATTGTCTCATGCAATGGTGTTACAGTAATGAACATTTCTACAGCCCAGTATTGTTAGGGTAAATCGACTGAACCAACTTTGGCAGATAACTGAGATTATGTCCGATAAATGTAATTTGCAAGGATAGCTGTATTCTCTATTTGCGTGTGGGCACATACATAGTGTGATAAGTGCAGTATGACATTAAACTATAGTTTCAATGCTCTAAATCTTCAAGAGAAATACGTCGAAGACTTTAGTCCCAGATTATAGGTGAACAACACCATCCTATAATTTTGTCCTGAATATTTCGCTCTTTTATTTGTGTTATAGACTTGCTCATCAACTCAAGGCATTCAGATCGCTGTTACAATCCTAAAATTCACAGTATAATATTAAAACTGGTATTCAGGCAAAGAAAGGTCCTCAGTTACTTCAGTAATCTTAAAATAGGATGGTTAACTTCGAACCTAAACTTTTTATAATCCAGAAAATAATCAAACCTCCAAATTACTTCAGATCACCTTCCGTGTACATGTGCCTTAAATTTTAATGCACAAACCGTGATGTGATAGTTATTTTTTTGTGTTGAAGTAAGTTGAAGCCTCACTAATTTCCACAGCTATTCAAGTGAATTCAAACTATAAACTAGAAAGACGTCTTAAAATAATGGAGATTTGTAGCTCAGATGGGTGATATTGAATTAATTGTGTTCTCTGAGCTGGTTGATTTAATTGCAAAGCTTTTGTCGTCCGTCTAGATAATATCTTGTCTACAAGGGCAACGAAAGTTTCGCAATTAAATCAACCTGCTCAGAGAATATGACTAATGCAATAGGAAGATGTCTGCAGTTTTTATGGATGGTATATTAATAAACGCTTATTGTCCATGTTTTAAAATCTTGACAATGTTGGCTGGGAGTGCAATTAATATCTGATTTGCCTTTAGGCTGTTGACAACGTTTCAGGGAGTCTGAGATATGATAAAAATATTACACTGTATATCGCAAGCTATATTTATAATCGAAGCAAACAATTAACACTGCAATAATACAACGAAAGCGTATGGACATTTGACAGGTTTATTTTCAAGTGGTTCATTGACAGGCGTTTCTATCAAACACCGTACCTTACAATGTCACACAGTGTAAAATATAGCTGTTTTTAACAGAATACTTTAATTACCAAAACTGAACTTATTATATAGAGACTGGTCTGCAAGTTGTCATATGAATCATATGCATATTTATTTACTAAATTTGTTTAAAAGGTACGTTTCATTTAATAAACAGATTTTATTTTAATTTAAACGGACGTGAGACAGTATTTTTCGCCTAAGGAACTTAGATAAATAAATATATACTGGTCTTTTTTTAACAATCACTAAGCGATTATTGTTTACGGTTAGTGAATTGTGACAGATATCGTCAAAAGGGTTATATATCCGACATCTGAAATCTAATATATCAAGTGACTGCATATTAATGTCTGTCTGACTGAGTCATTCTCTTCTCATATGTGTCAAATACCCTGTTTTCTAATAGAAACTATTGTATGAAACACTGTATTAATGTCCACTTTAAATACTTTATTTATTGTTCATTTGTCAGTAGATTTACCTTTGACCAGTAAAATAATACTGTCTTTGGATATACTGATTAGTGAACTAAGAGTATTTTTTCTCATTATTTCTTTGTTTATTCATATTAGTTAAGAACATTAGATATTGGCAGAACTAGGATATCTTGACAAAATCTAATCTTTAAAATTGAAAATACGAGTGGTCTTAAACTGTTACTAGATCACAGTTCAAAACATGTTTTACTACCAAAACCGACTGGCTGTGGACTGAAGCCAGGAAACCGATCTCTGCATCCTACTGTATTATTATTATTATTGTTCCCTTGGGTTCTTAGTGGAACATAGGGCTTCAACTACACGTCTCCACCTGCTTCTGTCTTCTGCTGTACTTTTTACTTGCATCCATGTTAGTCCATACTGTTTCAACTCCTCTTCACACGATCTCCTCCATGTCACCCTTGGATGTCACACTCGCCGCTTCCCTTTCGATGTCACCCAGCGGCCTCCTCAGCGGGTGTTCAATCCATCTCCACTTTCTCCTGCATATTTGTTGGGCGACTGGTTCTTGTTTTGTTTGTTCCCATCCTACGGTATAGCTGACATAATTTCCCTGAGACACTTACAGACAGAAAATACCCCAGAGACAACAAAAAGACAGTTGTTCGTTGTTGGAATCTACGTGGTTCTGTTCAGGAATAGTAACATCAAATACTCAAAATTACTTCAACAGTACAGTTGGGCAATCATATAGTCCAGTTTATTTCCTGGATACAGAAAAAGTACTGTAGAATAAAGTACTTTAGAATCAAGTAGAATATTCTCAACAGGGCGGGATAAATAGTTCTGTTAACAAAAATCACACACTTACAAATCCTGCAAACAGCCCAGGGTCGGAAATGGCATTCATTCAATCAAACAAAATCACATTAAAACAACACATTATCAATATGTCACGCAACCACAAACAGAAGCATTAAAATAAGATATTAAACAGGGACAAAAACGAATAATAAGGATCAAGTCAACATATGATATGCGGATGTCAGAACAGTGGCAGTTTGGAAGAGTACTGGACAGCTGTTTCGTCCTAGTTTGGGACTCTTCAGTAGCACACATCCACAGGGGTTCAAACCCAGGACCTTCTGGTTACAAGGCGAGCTAGCTCGTAGACCATTAAGCCACTGGGACCCAATCCAATGGTCCATGAATTCTAACTTCTACCAATTCACGACATAGCGCGACCCCTAGCCAATGTCTTTGGCGAATATTTGTCTTCACACCCGACCAGCTGCACCCTACTGGTCACGAATTCCAACTAGAACCCAGGTAACTACCCACCTGAATCGGACCAGTCGCTAGTGAGCATCTCATTGATATTCAAGTGTTGGTTTGTAGCGATTTGATTTTCATCATGAGCCGACATTAGTTAGAGAACCATTGGAAAACCTGGGAGTACTGGACAGCCTTGTAACCAGAAGGTCCTGTAGCTACAAAGTTAACTGAAACTTCCTAATAAGTATAAATGTTGTGTTTAAATCATTAACGAAGGATTTTCAAAACGAATATTCCATTACATGCGTACACGATACTATGCTTAAATATCACACTAAGTTTTTAGTTAAATAAGAACACCAGTGCTAATTAATATATACCGGTGAATGCTTGTGAATAATGTTCATATAAAATTCTTTTCATTTCGAATATTTTCTTCATATGAATGAATAATAACATCAAAAATAAAAAATAAAAATTGTCTGAGTTATGAAAATCAGCGTGTCAATGGATAACCAATGTTCATCCAGTTACTAATACTGCATCACTCTGTGACATTTAAAATAAACTTATCTAATTTGGAATTACAGTTGTTTTTTGTTCAAAAATTATTTGTCACTACTCTGAATATACTATGTTAGAAATAAATGCTCATTTTATGTAAAAATACTTTGACTCCCTTTCTTTGTCTTGCCTCATTTTTTTACCTCAAATGTGTGACCGTAACCCGTAAACATCTTAACCTATTTTAAGTAATTTTATACTAATTGAATCTGACTTGGCGTTCAAATGATTCTAAGAAATTCATGAAATCTATGGTCTGGATATTTATTATTTTGACCTATATTGATTAAAGTTGTGATATTTCATGATCTGTCATCTTTTATACAAATACTTGTATGACCAGAATGTGTTGTGTAAATGCATAACACATTCCAGATAAATTATGTCATTTAACTACCTTAATCCTAAATACTTGATATGTAACCGCCATCACTACTTACTTCTTTTAATCTCACATGGATAAACTATTAATATCTCGCTTAGTAATAAATAGATTGCACAAAGACTTAAATTTATTCGAATTCCTGTTTGTAATTTTATTTCAGAGTTTATAATACAACAACTGGTAAACTGTTAGGGGAGAAACGATTTCAACTTGTTATCCGTAAGTGACATAATGTGTACATATTGCTTATTATTCCATTCCACAGTAGAATAATTTTTATTTGATAAAACATACAATGATAGAGTAGTATTTAGTGGTGACGCTTCGAGCATAACTTATTGCTCACAATCATGTCGAGGTTCCGGGCAAGAAAATGGGCTCGAAGCGTTATCAGCAAATAATACTATTTGAAGTAACTAGAGTTATACTCTGCCCAAGTGGTCAGATTCTATTGTTACACCTCCTATTCCATGTTTGTATAGTTGTGCTTGCTTAATCAGTCACACATTAAAAATTGTTAATAGTAGCTACCTGTTAGCTGTAAATGTCTGGAGTTATCAAATGATCTTATGACATTTTCATCTAGCAGTAACCAGAGCATTGTTAAAACAAGGTAATCACTTCAGAATGACAAAAATGTCTCTTTGCTTCATGTACATGTCAATAGCTTTCACCTGACAGTTTAACTTCAGCGCGTTTAAGAATGAAAATTGAGGACGTTAATACGGATAGAAAGGCTAACAGTCATTCTTCAGGAAAATAGGATCAAAATTTGTATTAATTTTCTATTAATTTCAAAAGACCAATCAGTGAACGAAGAATATTTTTTCGATAACCTCTCCATAAATTTATACATTTATTGCTTTTCAAAACAATGTTTTTAACAACATCGAGTAAATAATATCAATAAATTACAGTTCTCAAGCATCTGCATTACGCATAAATAAAACCCCAGAGTGAATACTAGATACGTTAAGAAAAATAATTACACAGAATTTACTAATTTGTAGGTGCCAAAGAAGACTAGCGTAATAACAGTGTCTTGATCTCTTCCTTTTGCACGCAGAGATCCGGTTGCTTTAAGCAGATTGAGATTTGATATAGAACACTGAACAGAAATGCAGCAGTTTAAGTTGTCACACACCAAATGGCTCACAAAGGTAGAAAAAAAGTCAAACACTGGTATGCATTCAATACTACTTACAATCGCAAAACTGTTTATTGTATTATGTCATCGAAAATATCAAAAACCGTGCCTTCAGCGCATGTATAGTAATGCAACATGGTGACATACTGCTGCGATTACCTCGGAACCACTGTCAAAATCATTCATACCAGAACCATAGAGATAAACAAATGAATTTCATATTTATGGAAAATTTGTTTTACTAATTTTCTTTGTGCAGAAACAAACAGCGATGAAGAAGCCAATAACAAAATATCAAATCAAGGTGAAAGTATTTCAAACAAAGTGTTTCCTGTCCCATCAAATAATGAGAATAATTATGAATCTTTGGTTAACAGGCATGGAAGTGAACCGCCGTTAAGGCAAGAAATTCGTAAGGAGATACCTAAAATTAAAGGTAACTTAATTATAATACATCCAGAATACTTTTCCACGTTTTTTATTAAAACTGATTTGATAGTAGGCAATGATTACTTTTTTCTACTTGAAAGAATCATAAATATCTTCGTTTTTGTGGTAGTATAAATATCTGCGCTTACAATTCCGGTTTACAGTAAGCAACTTGACAGTTTATTGCATTATTTAAATGTTCGAGGAATAAAACACTTCGGTCATATTCGTACTGAAAGCGTGTTTTATGAAATCAATTCTAAAAAAACATAAATAATTGAGTTTATGTGACAGCTTTTCGAAAAATATTGCTCAAATTCAACCACAGTATATCAGTTAACACGATTATATTTTTTGATGTGGTTATGTTCTCTGAGCTGGGTATTTAATTTGCGAAGCTTTTATCGCCCTACTAGGCAACATCTTCAGTGCATACTTCAATTGGAAGTGAGCTTTTGGGTTTCTCCACGAGTTTATTAGTCATCTCTCCCGGTGATCTTGAACGTGATTGGTTGTTTTTGTGCGTTTCCATACCCTCTGGGGTACGTGTATTGGAACTGATTGTTTTCTCGACTTGAACTTTGACACTTTATGTGTGAAGGAAGGAAGGAAACGTCACACAAGAAGGGTCAAAGTTCGTCAAAAAACAATCATTTCCAATACAAGTAGCCTAGAGGGTGTGGAAACACACAAAAACAACCAATCGCAAATTAACTATCCAGCTCAGAGAACACAACCACATCAAAACCATCTACCTGAGCTACAAATCTTCTCCATCATGTGTAAACGATTTCATTTACAAGATGTAGATTCGAGATGCTAACATTTCTCAAAGACTTTATTACATCATTGGACTAGTTATATTCACTTAAGCCATCTCATGTAAACTCTCACTACTGATGATACACAACAATGATTCCCCTCTACATGAATGCCTGATAAGGTACTTGTTATACTCTAACCATAATAAATCCAACTTAAAAATGCTTAAGCTGAGAATGTCTTCTAAAATTCAGTGTAAGGTAATAGAATTCTCCTCTTTCTTAGGGATTCCTAAATTAACCTGTATACCCCAATGCTAGATATGGTAGATTCCATGTGCATTTAATACAAACTCGCAAACATATATAAAATCTTCCACAGCTTAATTTGGTTCTTGACGTCTCGACTGAACAGAGAACATATTCTCGATTGCAGTTCTAATGTTAAACCACGAAAATTAGATTTTTGAACGCACTTGTAACCGTAAAAATAATAATAACAATCTAATACTCTCACACTCATTTAAGACTAGTTCTGTTCCTATGCCCACCCCTAAAACTAACCTTTTTTCTAATTTTTCATTTACACCAAATCATAATTCTGCTCTTGACATTAAACTTACTTGAAATCTACTCTCCACCCAAAGTGTAGATTTAAAGTTACGCGTTCATTTTTTGCATAGTCATTTAGAACTTTATCACTGTTGAAATCAAACATAACTATTTGACATGAACGTGATAATTGCGGAATGCGAAATAACTAACTCTTAAGTGTTGAATAACTTTCCCATTTAAAACAAGAAGTCTGATAAGACTGCATAGAAATCACAAAGCGGAAGACTTGGATTTTTTCCGACTAGCTAATACCAAAGTTGTATTTCTTGGAGTCCATTGGAATTCATGTAAACATACCGAAGTTGATTAAAAAGGCTACACAGAGAAAGTGAGGTAAATAATCATTGCGTAGCTGAATGAAAAGTACACTTATGGCCTGAACATATCAACCTCTTAAGTAAGGTTATTTAGTAAATACTAATTTCATTTGCATTTTTCCATCTCGATAACAAATGATTATATTTTTATATTTTACAGTTTCCAAACCCATTGTCAAACGCTTAGCGAACTTTACTATGGCGCTATACATTAAATGGACTGTCTACAACAGTCCGATCAGTGGAATGCATTATCAGATAGGTCTTAAACATTTCGGGAAGAAAAACCGTAAAATCAGGTCTGCAATGAGTTATCCATATGAAGATAAAGTCCAAGAGAACAAATCAAATGAAGATGACTTCATAATTTTGCCGAACATTTATGAAAATACCAGTATCATCCTTGATTCTTCTGAACTCTTACATCCACAAAACTCTTATGCGTAAGTTTTATCCTTTTTCATTATTAACATCAGAGCAAGTTTTCCAGAATGTATTTCACGAATTATTTATTACGAAATAGATAAATGTGTTCGTGGTCAAACTTTATGCTATTTGGTAATCTGTATGTGAGGATGCTAACACTGTAGAGTTTGTTCAAATATGAACTATTTCAATTCGGCTTCTGTATAATAAAGAATATTACTATGTAAACTGAATCGCCAACCAAAATGAGATGGAAAAATAATACTTTAGACTTTTCAGCAGACAGCAGCTACAATTCCACGAGAGTTAAAATCCTTCAAATTCAACATTATAATCCTCATTTATTTCTTCATTATTGCGGTGATTAGAGAATTTTTGAAATTCGCAAGGGAATTTTTGGGAGTAGGCAAATACTGACTGCTTGAATTGAGTAGTCAAAGTGCTGTTCTGTGAACTTATAATGATTAGAATTTCTGGATATTAGATTCCAATCCAGTGGCTGGATGACAGAGTAGTCGCCTCATAATCTGAAGGTCCTTGGCTTGATTTCTTGGTGGGTACTGGATGAGTAATGCTGCAGAATTATAAGAGTGGACGAAACACCTGTCCAGTATTCCCTGGAATGATGTTAGTTTTTCACGCCATCTGCAGTGAAACAATCACAAGCACTGCATCTAGATAATGATTATTACTCCTGGGTATATTAGTGAAGATGTAGTTACATTACTGGCTTTGTTTTTGATATAGTTAACATATGGTGTTATTTCCTCTCCTTTGGTTTGTGGTGTACAGGATAGTTCTCTCTGAAAAGACGATCCATCCACCTTAATTAGCCGTAAAGTTGTTTTTCATTCGTGCTATTTAACTGCAGGAATATTAAAATTTATCGAGCATCTACTCCCATCAGTTCACTTCTACTGAAATATAGACACTTTGACAGAGCATCCACGTTCCTGACAAAGAAGACTTTGACTATTTTAAGTGTGAATCTATAATAGTGATTTTCATTAGCAAAAATGAAGGTTCAGAAAATATATCTTGATGCAGTTATGCAGTAATAAAATCGTAACTGATTTTATGTCAGTTTTGATTAGCTTGTTTCTGAATCTTTTTTATGAGTCACAAACAATCCAAGAAAGCTACTTTGTGCTATAAGAAACTTAGTCTTTATGTTGATCTATTATTTACGAATGCTTGCATGGATGTCAATGTTTTCCACATTAAGCAAATAAGTGTTCGGTGCTGACTGTCATCTTGATTAACATCACGTAATATCAGGGTAATGTTTAGGTTAAATCTGAAAACAAGAATGTTAGATTAATCCTTAATTTAGCGTGCAAATAAGACTAACAGTTTAAGAAGAAATAAATGCTTCACGTTACGAAACCAAGTGCCACTATAAGTAATACTAAAACAATTTAAAGTAGGATAACCTATTCGTCGAGTTTTCTTCAGTTAAATAATGCATAACTTCGTGGGTAAAGAATCTCTTCTTACACTTAATTATCAGGAAAATATATGAGCCTTGTATTTTACTGAAGGCAGTGAAAGAAACTATCTTTTTTGAAGTGTTCTTGCCGGAACTGAATTAAACTTCGATGCATCACAACATGACGTATGAGTTTAAAAATAACCTGATGAGAGTAAATAAACATTGTTATTGTTGACGTTTTCCACACATAAATTAACAGTATACTTCATATGAGACTGCCATTATATATAATCATGAATTTGTCCCTTATAACTTATCAAATACCACCACTTTATAATCTATTAGACTAGTGGTTTCAGCTTATACAAATAATGCAAAAAAGTATGTTATCACACTACTAAGATAACTTTATCAACATAACTATTGAATCACATTACATTTTTGTTTTAATTTCCACCATAACCACAATAAATTTCAACAGGATATTCAATGTGAAATGCTTGTAAACAATTTTTATAAAGATATATATGTTTTGAAAGCTGTTTGAGAATTATTGAAGGAAGCCTTCATTTGTTCCTTCGCTTCAAACATTTAATTGCCGAAAGAGGAAACGAAACTGTTCGAAGACATACAAGAGGGAGAATAGTTATATATCAGTATTTGCAACACTTTTTTTTTTACAAAATATGATAATAATAATCTGCTTTATTCCAAAAACAATACCTGTAATACAGAATGGAATTCTCAGCATTTGTCACAATATTCCATCTGATTTACTCAAAATTTGAATAAAATTAAAAATTAAAACAAAATTAATCAGAGTAACTTGTGCACATTTACGATATAAAGTCAAAAATATTCGAAGTACGAATTGGGAATAATATATATAATAATAATAACAGTGGATTTGCTTCAAACAGTATTGTCGATTCAGTTCGAAAATTTTAGCATGTTATAGAGTATTGAAACTAATGTTCTGTTGATACAGTATGATGAGGAGAAATACAAAATTAACAGTTATAACACAGCTCAAATGATGTTCAGACTTACGAAAAAATAAACAAATAAAAACAAAAATTGAGAGGACCATAAATATCAGAAGTACAATAATAATGAAAGTCGATGCTGTAAGGGTGGAAGAAAATGGTTTATTTAATAGTGCGAAGAAGGCTAGTTAGTTCATGCCTTACACTATTTTCATCACATAAAGTACGTGCCAAATATGGTATAGTAGAATTTTTATACTTAGACGTACGCGCATAAATTCTTCTGAAAAGACTTCTTCTTTTACCTGAGGAGACACAAGGTTGGAGTTGCGGGTAAAGTGGATGCTCACAGTCTGACAAAATTCCTTTAGCGGACTTGTTGCATAACATCAAGTGCGTATCAATGGCGATGTCAACGATATGACCCATTGGGATACCACTCGCCCTATTGAAAGTCTTCAGAGTTCTATGAAGTATGACATAGTCTTTTTTAAACAATCCAGGAAAGAATAAGGGTGAACAGTAAAGAAGAATAGGTAAGATGCATGAGTTGACAAACTGTAAATGGAGGGGTTAGGGTTTAATCATAATTTTTTGTTCCAAACCATATACCAAATGTTACTGTAAGTTATTGTGTCATCTTATCGACATGAAAGAAAAAAATTATTATTTAGTATAACTGTTTGAATAACCATTGTGATTCTAAATATATCAACGTTTTAATGGCTTTTATCTCATAAGAGGTAAAATACAACTTCTGTTAATGCTTTCTTTTAAATCATTCCAACGGATATTCAGTTTACGTGTTCTTGTGATGGAGTATCAGCTGTGGAGCCCCTGGAGTGAACCAGTTCATTTTGATAATATACTTGATGCTACTGTGCAAATTATATCCCTCCGATCAAACGTAAGTTAATATATATATATGTGATTTAATAGTGCAAAATATTCCCATATCATGAATTGAAAGTCAATCTGAACGAAGAATATTCTTTTCAATAATTTCTCTTCATGTTCTTATAATTATAAAATATTATATTTGTCATCGTTACAATAATGGCCAGTTATGTGCCATATCCTCACTGGGATCTATTTTCGCGAACATATTTCCAGGAAACCTGGAAAATGGTCCGTTGAAAGATGACATGTATTACTGTTACTAGGATGACACTTTTGTAGTGTACGATGGAGGGTTAAGTAGTGATTTCATTTTGATCAACTTCAATAATGCTCACCCAGCGGTCCATTTCACCTACAGAGGAGGATACAATGACTCGCTGCACTTCCCTGACGTTCTATTAACTAGAAGAGAGGATGGTTCCGTCAAAAGAACCATATTTAGAAAGCTAGAGACCAAAGCTCAACATACACACTTCCTTAGCTTTGTACCAATGAAATATAAACGTAATTTGATTAGATGCTTAGCATTTAGAGCGAGGTCTATTTGTTCCGAAGACTGATTAGAGAAAGAACTCCAGATCATCCGAGACATTCTAAGCGAAAACGGATATCCAGAAAAGTTCATTAAAGCCAACATAGGCTATAATAGTCGTAAACATGAATTGGCAACGGTCTACAATTCGAGGAGGATACTCCTGCGGTGCTTCTGTGACACAGCGGTTAGGACGCTCGCCGACCATGGTCCGGGGTTCGATCCACGGCCGACGCACTCCTTTACGTCAATAAGCCAGAAATAAAGGTGGCAGAGAGGAAAGGTTGGGCATGAGGCTAGCAACCCCATCCTGTAAAAATAATCACCACTGCTACAGCAACTTCAAGCCTCTAGCTTGAGGTCCTATGTTCCACTGGGAACGTGAAGGAATAAAAATACTCCTGCGGAAATTCTATCGCAACTTTTAACCAGGGTGATCAAGAAAACTTTCTGCTCTGCGCGTCTGTGTCTATCCTTCAATAGCCGTCTAATGTTCACCCAACAACTCAAAGATGTCTTACCTAAGCTTAGCTGTTCTTCATGCATATACCATTTCAACTGTTCCTGTGGTTCAAGTTATATAAGGCGCACGATTAGGCAGGTTCGTCTGTGGGTTCGAGAACATTTACCGGCTGGGTTCATCAGGGGAGAAATTAAGTGCATAAAAAGCTCGATCCTGTCGCACTTGGTTGATACTGAAAATAACACTGACGTCAACACAGCTTTCAGGGTTATATGCAGAATTCCGGAGTCGTTATCACGTACAGTCCGCTTACGTCTCCTACACACAGCTGAAGCCGTTGCAATAAGACTGACTAAACCGGAACTTTGTATCTAAAATGAACACGTCCAGATGCTGTTCCTACCTTAGCCAAACTTGGATTGATGATTTTTCTTCTCACGAAGAGTGCTTCTTCCCCTTAACCCTCTTGGTTTTTTTCCTTTGCTTATTATTACAAATATTATTATTACAATTATTATTATTACAGTTATTATTATTATTCGTCATAATTTATGCCCTTCATGCAAACATTCTCTCAATGTTATCGAATTTTTCATTTATACTATCCGGACTTATTATTAGAGATATTATCTCTTTTCTCAGTATATACCTCTACCTGTTTCATTTCACATTTTCGTTATTTCATTATGAACCTCTCATTGCAGTCTTACTATCTCGTGTTTAACACCACTAGCCACTCACCTGACACCTTTTATAACCTTGAACTGACTTGTCAATTTTCCTACCCCACAATCTACAAATCTACTATGATTAATCACCACCATTGTCTCCCTTTTTACAATATTTTTTAATCGAATTCAGCCTAGCACGTTTGTCACACAAATACGGCTATTTATTTTGACACCCCATAAGTAATCTGTTATTCTACGTTAAAAATATTCCAATGGGTATTTTCCACGATTTGGAAAATGTATCCGCCTCATAACTGGCCTTTATTGTAACGACAACATACCACTTTGTACTAGCCAGTCACCTGAAAACTTTTATAACCTTGAATTGACTTACTTGTCAGTTTTCCTACCCACATTCTACTAATCTATTATGACTACTCACCATCATTGTCTCCTACTTAACAATACTTTGTAATCGATTTCAGCCTAACCCGTTTGTCTCAAAAATATTATTTATTTTGACACCCCATAGCTAATCTGTTATTCTACGTTAAAAATGTATCCGCCTCATAACTAGCCATTATTGTAACGACAACAAATGTTATATTTTGATAGTTATAAGAACCTGAAGAGAAATTATTGAAAAGAATATTCTTCGTTTAGATTGACTTTCAATATATATATATATATATCCATATTTCAATATATACTTTCAATATATGCTTTCAATATATATATATATATATCCATATTTCCATGACATGTTGCTTGTAAACAAAGTAGCTATTTTGATGCCCGTGAAATGGATAACTCCATAGGTCTCCATTATTTCTATTTTGATAAAGGTGTGGCAGTTAACTTAAATCCTTTATTGTCAAACAATGATCTTATTGAAACAATTAGTCCCTATGATAAATTTGAATAAGGCATTAAGAAGACAAATTTCGCGAGATGACATCATTTCGTAGTTTCTTTACAACCGCTTTACAACTAACATGGTTAACAATAATAAAATAAAGTTCATGACAATTACTCAGTTAAATAAAAATACAAAAGTACATACTAATGACCAATCATATTTAGATAGGTCAAGTAATCCAGGGTAGGCGAAGATTGAAGTCTATTGATTTTTGTACACACAGTTTAGACTGTATGTGATTAATCCAAAGTGCTTCCATCCCCTTCAATAACCTTGAATTAGAGTTATGTGAAATAATTGTAAAACAGTCATTAATATTTATTTTGTGACCTGACATTAATAAGTGTTTTGCAGTGGATGACGCTGGATTTCTATTCAGATTACTGGCATTGGGATTTACTATATGATTTAGTAGCCATTTTGGAACATGTTCTTTCCGACGACATTGGAACATTCTGTTGGTTCTACCTATGTAGGTGTCACCGCAACTGCAGGTGAACTTGTAGATACAGTTTGAACTAGAGTTCACAGAATTTCGTCCTTTAATCGTAGGTACAGGGATCGAAAATGTTCGGCAGGTGAGAAAAAGAGATGCGGCGTAGAATGTGCGTCTGAATAGAAATCCAGCGTCACCCATTGCAAAACACTTATTAATGTCAGGTCACAAAATAAATATTAATGACTGTTTTACAATTATTTCACATAACTCTAATTCAAGGTTATTGAAGGGGATGGAAGCACTTTGGATTAATCACATACAGTCTAAACTGTGTGTACAAAAATCAATAGACTTCAATCTTCGCCTACCCTGGACTACTTGACCTATCTAAATATGATTGGTCATTAGTATGTACTTTTGTGATTTTTATTTAACTGAGTAATTGTCATGAACTTTATTTTATTATTGTTAACCATGTTAGTTGTAAAGCGGTTGTAAAGAAACTACGAAATGATGTCATCTCGCGAAATTTGCCTTCTTAATGCCTTATTCAAATGATCTTATTATTCAAAAGGATTCTAGGGGTAAATGTAATTAAATGCAATTACAGGTTAATGTTTTGCCTTACTTGAGTAATATCTAAGGCTATTAACTTCGTTCTAATTTGGACACATACTGCAAATAAACTATGATTTAGCTGCAACTCAAACATTGCCTTGCTATTCAATCCACTTCGGTTATTTCATAGTTTTGTTCATACGCTTAAATAAGTGACGTAATAACTGAATAAACTGACAGAGAAAAAATGTCTAGTTTTTTTGTCAAACTGTCGTGTAGTGTGATACGAGCTATTTTTTAAACTTGTGAAAGTCATACTTAGAATTACCCTTACTTTTATAGTATTGTGTAAAATTTATCGTAGAGAATGAAATAACAAACTTCTCAAACTACATACATATATATATATATGTACATATCAGCTTATTTGTTAGGATGCAAGTAGGACACAGAACATATAGGATACATTAATTATTGTTTTTGCTTTAAATGGATGTCACAAACTTGTTATCATTGGAATAGGACATTTACTGTTAAGTAGAACAAACGACATTACGTACTTTCCAATAAAACTAGTTAGCTTATACTCAGTTGAGTGTTATATGTTATTCTATTGTTAAATGTTAAATATTTTGTTATAACAAAGCATGTCAAAAGTGTACAAGATAACTAGACAGAATTACAAAGATATATTACATATTTTCGTGTATTTATGATTCAGATAAATGAACTTAAACGTTAATAAACTGTATGAATTTTATATTTAAATCCTAGAATAATCCTTTTATTTCTTAAAACAGATTTAAAACTATATAGAAGTTAGTATTTAATTGGTGGATGGTGACTAGCAGTGGAATCCAGGATGCGCATTTCGTCCTATTTGGGACTCGTCATCTGGATGTGCCTGCATTTCTCAGTGAGTGATGATGTTCCCACCGAGGCTCGAACCCAGTGCCCATAGCTTCAAACGCCAAAGCGTTATCCAGTAGACCACTTGGGCCACGAGAGCCACCTCTTGTGCAACGGGTCATATTGATTTAATTGAATTTTAGATTTTCCCGTCGATTGATTGGACCGAAGTGCTCTGTCTCAGGTTGACATGTCGGCTTCTTGAGCAGATGCTTCGACGATGTCTGGGTATTTAATTAGTATATAGAAGTTAGGACTGAGGAGTAAATGAAGCATTTCAAGGAAATTTTATGATAATATAATTTTAGCAGCATCAATTTTCACTAAAGTTTGGAACCTAGTTTATTGTTTGGAATTATACCAGAGGAGTCACATAAATTTCTCACTTCATTCACATTGCTTCTATTGCTTATTATGCTCTGGTTTTAGTGGTGACAACAGTTTCTGTGCTTCCAGCTTGAGTACTGTTCCATTACCATTTCACAGAGTGCATAGGAATTTAATATTACATACTGAAAATAGCCAGTGTGAGGAAATTTCTGACCCGCATCATCACGAATCATTTACAACCTTAGGAAGTATCATGATTCTTCTACGATGTAAGCCAGTTGTTTTCAGTGCTGAAGCAGGGACTTCATCCACAAGGCATGTAGCTCATGACTAGTGCCGCAGAAATTACAGAAGTGTTGCACTGGTTAGTTTACTGATAACATTTAATAATTACGAGATCGAACTCAACAAATTTGAGATCCAAACTTTAGCGTTTCTTTTGCTGTTTGACAATTGATTCGTGTTCAGAACTCTGTCATATATGGTGTAAAAGATGACCTATGTGTATGGGTGCAAAAGTGTTCCGTTCTTTGAAAGAATAAACTGCAGATTAGGGCTAGCAATCACGGAACCTTGGTTCAAGATTTAATAGCCATCAAAGTTTCTTAAACACATCTAGGTGATGAATGTAAATAAGCGTAAAACGTGAACATATGGCTTTTTGTAGATCACGCCTAATCACTCAATATAATGACAAACATATAGTATATCATCTTTTTCAAAGTTCTGTAAGCAAAATGTAGTGGCTTCTACTCATCAAATGGGTCATGGTTCTACAAATTAGACAGAAAAGAATTTCACAAATAATTTCACTATTCTACAAAGTCTACAACAAATCATAGGAAAGTGAATTTCATTGAAACTGCTAGCAGTACAATATAACACACCATAAAAACATAACTAAGCATATTTGTAAAAAATTATATTTGTAAAATCTCAGCGAGATTGAAATGAGTAATTCCAACGTTTCGTTCGGCAATCTGGTCCGAACTTCTTCAGGGAAATTAATCGACATTAACATGACAGAGGTTTATATATAAAAGGAACATCACTTGTTTTTAAAAGCTTTGTCCAATCATGAGTCATTCAACAAGTATAATAAACAAAGCAATAAGTCCGACAGGGTGCTTCTACTAAACTCCAATCTTAAACACCATAATTTTGAAAATACGTCTAATCATAAAATTCAAGATACTAACAGTTTGAACAAACATGAAGGTGTGATGTTAGCTTATGCATAGGGAATCCTTATTAATATATAAAAAATGGATATGTATCACTAATTAATAATACTTGGTCAAATTCCTGACTGTCTATATCTTCCTATGGAGACGTTAAGAAATGTTTTACTGCTGTTTACACACACACACATACTCTGATTAAAGTGTTTAACAAAGGTAGACCAATATTTGTGAGTCCGGGGTCAAATTTTGATCACAGCTCATAAAATTTTGTTTATTATACTTGTTGAATGACTCATGATTGGACAAAGTTTTTAAAAACAAGTGATGTTCCTTTTATATATAAACCTCTGTCATGTTAATGTCGATTAATTTCCCTGAAGAAGTTCGGACCAGATTGCCGAACGAAACGTTGGAATTACTCATTTCAATCTCGCTGAGATTTTACAAATATAATTTTTTACAAATGTCTACTTCTCACTCGGCGCCCAAATATTTTAGAACTATTCTATCAAATCTTGACGACAGTTCATTTGAATAACTAAGCATATTACTGAGTAACGAACAAGACTTCTGTTTTGAGGAATAGTAATAGTCATAAACACTGTTCGCACCACTGATATAACTGTTTAATATTTCAGATCATTTTAGTAACACGTTAACAATCTATATATTCATTTTTGATTGAACTAAGGCATAAATTATTCACACGATATTGTCCAAAAGTCTACAGTGAAATTTATTCAAATTTTACTAAGTACAATTGTATCAAGTGATAGCGTTAACTAATATTATTAATTGATAATTAAGGAGAGATAGAAGATATTTTCTGCTTCAATGATTGTTTCTTTTCTTTTCTCTTTCTTCAAATGCTACATAACCAAGTGAGAAGTGTTATCGTCTTAATAAAAATAGATTATTTAGTGCCTAGTACTATACACCATATCATAAACTTAAAAAAAGCAAGCAATACTAGTTTGATATATAAGCAGTTTGTGAATAATTTAAATAGTGAGTGAAACATAGTCTTCAAACAAAAATAATTGAGGAGGATGATAGAGCAAAGGTAGCTGGAGAAACAATTCGAAAAATCAGTTGAAAATAGATAAATAGTTTACACTTGTACTACCAGTTATATGATGCAGGACTTGTACTCACTATATTCTTGTGCCTGTCATCCTAAACTAGATTTGTCATCATTTGAAATCTGTGTCAAGTATGACTTTTATTTACCACTTCAGAATTGAAAATATAGTCAGTGGGATGATTATACTTAACACAAAAATTCACACCTTTCAATTTATTCATTCTTTTTTAGTGACACTGTGTTCATTGTTTTTTTTGTTGTTGTGCTTTTCAGAATGCATCTTGTATTTACGTCGAATGGATATACATACAGCCAAGAAATAATTCCATTTCACTTGAGATAACAAATCCAGCAGATTTAAATTTCATTATAATTTATAGAAATTTGTCTGGAAATCAAGGAGATAGAAAATCTCTTCTGGAATTATGGACAGAGTCTGTATTTAACGATGAAAATCAATTTCCTATTGATTTATTCAATAGTAGGGGAAAATTTAGCGATATACATATTCGTAAAATTACTGGAGACATTACCACAAAAGGTTATTTAATTAGTGAGCTTCTACCTAATACAACCTATGCAGTAAGTTGATTCCAAGAAGAAAAATGTACTAATTATTTTAATAACACTGTACTCCTACGACTGCTCAAGTCAACTTTTATAATTATTTGGGAATGATAAGATCATTTATGTGATACATTTGATATGAATATATACTACTTATAGTAAAGTTGACTGAAATTTAGCTACTGTAATTACGTTATTCCTTGAGTGAGCGAACGATTGTATAATCGCCAAATTCTATACGAAAATTTAGAAAACGTTAGTTGAAAGAATGTCTCAGGAAGCCTTTTACCAAAGGTTTGTTTGGAACTCATTGTAAAGGACTTTACAGAATTCACTCTGATCGTAAACTCAAGCATTTAACAGAATTCAATCAGGGGTTCACATTATGCTGACCTTCTCATGATTTCTTTCAAATAGGATATATGAAATAGGGTATATGTTCCTTGCACTTTGTGTATTACTAAGAAATACATTATCATTCATCTGCAGTTTTCATTTTCAAATACCTCCAATCATCTCAAACCCGCATAATTGAGCACGATTTACTAAGTTCACTTAATAGCAGTCTTTTTCCGTGAAGTGAAGGACAGTTTATCCACTGAACGTATTTTTAATTCCTAGATCTCAATGTGTTAGATTTTCCTTACTTCTCCACAATTAGGCTTCACAGATGCACTTTCCTGTAAATCTCTTTCATGATCACTGCGATATAATATTCACCATATATTAAAGCATCCAGTCTTATGGAAGAATATAGATTAATCAATTTCAGGTTGAATTTGTTAATTCCTTGATAGGTGATAACTGTAGAATTTGTTTTAAAACGTATAGTGATAAATGCTAATCGTGGAAATAACATAAAGTGCTATCTAGAGGTTGTCATACAGTCCGTAAATACTAAGACACTAGAAACCTGAGTATTTGTTATCACATATTATTTTCACATTGTCAAGCTTTTATTCCATCAGAATGTTGGTAATATTAAAAGTTTCTTTTCTCATCTAAGGTTTCGGTATATATTGAAGAAACAAGATTGAGTCAGCATCAGTCAGAAAGATATTTCACTCGTCTCAGTAATGAAGCTGTACAGAAAACATTACCAAGTTCGCTTACTCTAGCAAGCAGTGAAACAAGCTTAAATACTGAAAATTCTACTAAAGAGAGACAAGAGGTGGAGGTGAGATCGGTATATTTATTTGTCCTCAGTTCTTTCAAATAATATGATAATTGAAACTTGATATCTTTAGACATACTTTATCCAAGATAGGCGTTTGTTGCATAGTAAACATATATATATATATATACAATGGAGTGTCAGGCTGTAAATTAGCTTGTTATAAGGTGCAACTGATTTGGTCATCCTAAGTTTTCTTACTACTTTACATTTTATTAGTTCAATGAGATCATTAACACTCTTTTAACATGAAGCAAGAACCACAATGGAGGTGAGAGTTTCCCTAAATCCTCATTACGAGTACACTTTTGGTGTAACAGTGAACCCAGTTACGTCTCGAAAATTTGATTGAAGAGAAGGAAAACGTTTGTGTGAGAATCAAACGAACTGAAATGCAATTTCCCTTATAAATCCGAAACCCTTATATTAGCATATTTCATCTGCTTGTCATTATAAATAATTTAAAGTCGGTGACCACTGTTGCTACACTGATAAATAATGTCAGTACTTCAAAAACATTCACGTAAATTATTGTTACCAGCTGTATTTCAAAGGCACTTTAATTGAGTCTATGCGTTATCTAGAGAAAAAAATTTCCCAAATAATATTTAGGTCGTTCAATTAGAATAACAAACACTGGGCGATTTTAAATGTTTGATGCAGGTAGTATATATCACATAGCAACTTTCAATTAGCTTTGAAAAAAGTATTTTTCTCACCCCGATTCTTCACATCTTATGTATTCCCGATGTTATCACGCATCTAATTATTTGCTTAAGAGTACGTATCGCTTAGTCATTATGTAAAAAGGGCTCGTCACACTTCTGTAGTGGCAGCATGTAACAACTGGAGTCGGCTTGTTATGGTTTGAATCCAGGATGTACGGCTAGCTAAAATTTACTTGAGCTAGTGACAGCGAAAAAATACACTAACAATTGCAAATACATTTGTTTACAATAAGATAAAAACATATGAAAACTCAAACGTACTTCAGTAATACCATTAGGTAGCTGAACAGGTAAAATTAGTCATCACTTAAAATTTGAGCAGGTTATAAAAACATTTTTTAACCACATCAACCGTAAGAACTACCTGAGAATCAGGATGAATATTCCCAATGAGGTGGGATCAAAACTGCGTCAACATGAATCACATGCCAACAGTTCATTCAGTCAGTTCAAGTTCGAAATGACTTTGATTTACTTCAACAAAAATGGCAGTTGTAAACCCACACATTGTTAATATCATCACAAAACAACAAAGAGAAGGATTAAAATTAAAGATTGAACATAAACAACCACAAATAATAAGGATAGAGTCTACACATAATATACAAGTATCAGAATAGTGATAAATAGGCTGAGAGAATAGAGGAATAATACGTACTGTTGGCTGAAACATCCAAATAAGAATAAATATTGTAATTTTCCAAACACTTATTCCGTTACACAGCATTAGTTGACGTTTTTAAAGCCTTGGTATTTAAATTCGAGATTGTTACCAAGCCTGGTGATGTAACATCCATGGTCAAATGCTAAAAAGCTAAAAGAACAAAAATAAATTCCCATTCTCATTCTGAGCTTCAGATTTCTTCCATTATTATAATGAAATACTTGTCCCCACACTTTAAATCTATATTGATTTTTTTCAGTGCTTGGCTACATAATTGACCTGTGTTTCATTTTAATTATTCTAAGTGTACTTATCATATATTTTCTCAATAAGTAATGTATTATATACTTCTAAACTTTAATAACCAAATTTAATTACCAAAGTTAAAATAATTCATAAAAGTGTGTGATTCATGTTGTTTATATTAAGCTGCTTATTTGTTGACCTGTAGGATACTGTCTCTCAATTGACATCAAATCTCAAGTCGAAAATGACTAGACAAATTAGTAAAAAAAGTGACGTAATCAATAAATTACCAAAGATTTATCAACATGAAAGTTACGTATTGATTGTAATACTTGGATCATTGGCTGGAGTTCTACTAATCATATTCATTGCACTAATCACATTTTGTATATGGTACCGGATACGCTTAAAGTCACAGTATCCCAGAGGTAAGTAATAATATTTTTTTTCACTCTTCTATACTTTTCCTCATAAAAGGGACTCTTATTTTATCTCTCAGTTTCTAGTTCTGTAACCGAATAAGACAAAAGTTGTTTTGTACTTCCTGGTAAATTTTTTCTAGCTTCCCTCTATTTCTTTTTGCTTCAAACAAGGTCTTTTTAGTTTGAGATACAATAACTAGTGAGTGACAACATAATGAGGTTTTGATTGAACACTGGTAACTAGTGTAGTGTGTCTGGTCCTTTCATTGGTGCAGACTGAATTCCATCAGTCACGTTTGCAGTGTGGTCACCATTGTAGGTGGCTCATCATCATGGGGCACTGTGAATTGTTGGTATTCGATGGTTAAAAGCAATCGGCAGGAAGCCTTGGACCTAGGTCTCGGGCAAGTTGGCACTCAACAGTCAGCAAGACGTATCTGCAACCTTAAAGGAACTAATGTCTCTTCTGAGATTGAAACACGCATCACTCAGTGATGCAGTGAGAGACGTTACCACTGAGCTATTCATGCTTGTGATTGATCTTCTGTAGAACTGTACTGGATATTTTTGATTTAGTTCTGTCTTGTCTGTGATATATTTTAAGAATCCGTAGAGAAAAATATCGTCAAAATTATCCACAGAATTCTAAGTATTCTATCAGTTGGATAAAGGATAATAAATTATTTTACATCGGATATAGTGTCAACGTATAATGACAGTGGTACTACTATTACAGTTTAATAATTAAATACAAATCTGTAACACCGATCTACATTAAATATTTCATTGAAGTGATTCTGTTCAATGTTGAAATCCTTATGTCATTAAATTTCAGTCTGTTACTAAAGTTTAAATAAAGCCTCAAAATTATAAATTTCTGTCCCCAAAATATATCACTAAATGACATTCATCTGACTGTCAAATTCAATCATCGATAGACTGTGAAAATGGTACCAACAATGGGAAAAAGCCAAACAGAGGGAAAGAAAACTATGTAATATTCAACTGTCAACCAAATTATTTCCTATGGGGTAAAAATTTGAAGCTTATAGTTTATTCTTTTACTTTTTATTTTACTGATATATTCACAATAAATTTTGTTGTACAAAGAAAAGATTATGTTTAAAATGACATAAAACCGCTTGATGTGAAATATAATTTCAAGTTCAGTCAGATATTAAACTGACATAAATTGGTAGAAGAGTGAACTGTTCACTCACTTGTATACACAAATGTTAATGAAAAATGAGGAAAGCTATTTTATATGTAATAAAAGTTCTGTAATAATGAAAGAGTAGGCCAGTCTGGGTAAGTAGTATACACCGACGTATGTACGTTTACAACTACACACCTATTCTGAACATTTATATGTTTATCTTTAAAGACAGACAGAAATGCAAAAGTACGAAATACAACAGTAGGCATTGATGCATAAGAGTACGAACGATAATTCAAACTAATCAACCATTTTAGGTAGCGATTCACTTTTGAACGGCTCAGAAACTTTTTGAAATGACAAAGGATTAGTGCTAATGAAGGAAATTATTGAAATGTATGCTTCTATGTAGCAGATGTAGTTTGTCTTTTGCGTAAGGAAAGTTTAGAATTAGACAAGTTGAATTTCTCAGACGAATAGTGCTGACTTTTGGTAAATTGGCGCGATACAATCAAAGTTTGTCAGAACTCAGCACAATAGAAATACACTTAGTTTATCTAACAGTTGTTAGTTACTTTGGGATGAAATAGAACTTTAACAGTATTAAGCTGGTATGCCGTAGGTTAATTAGAAACAATTTCCGAGAACGTTTCTTTTGCTAACATGAGGAATTTCCTGAGTTTCATCACAGATTGCCGGCAATTGAGGAACCACTGAGGACCAGGAGGTACAAGTCAGTTCTAGTCTGGGAATCTTCAGCACTACACACCTAAGACTCAACCGGATATCGAACTCAGGGTCGTCAAGTTGCTAGGCGAGTTCTTTGACCATTCAGCCATGTGTGCAAGAATCCAATATCCTATGAATTCTAACTTCTGTCAAATCACGATTTTAGCACCATCGACATCCAGCATCCTAGGTGAGTATTTGTCCTCACAACGAACCTGATAGACTCCACCGGTCATGATTTCTCATTAGAAATCTAGGCACTTGCGAGCATCAGACTAGCTGATAAAAAGTGAGGAACATCCTTGGAATGTAAGTGAAACGACTCATTATTAGACTATAAATTTAAACTGCATTTGATTAATATAAAATACACTGAAAGTAACTAGCAGTGGAGATATTTATTATGAAAATTATGAAAAAATTTCAGAAATAACTGTTGTATACTGTAAAAAACGTCTTCCATAGGTTATTTTGGTGCCTTAAGTGATTCGGAAATCACTGGAACTCCGAAGCAGAGAACAATCACTGAATGGGAAAACTTTCAATCACAGCCAGTTCTAACAACTGAAAGTAATCAAACATTTCCGCGTACAACAGGCAACATTCATTTACAGTCATTAAGTGATCAGCAGTCACCGTTAGCAAATTTCAACAATTTTGCAACAATACAGCATCCGACACACTGGATACAACAGCCTCAACTACCATGCGAAGGACAATATAGGAAATCTATGATTCTTGATAATGCAATGAAATCTTACTGGACAACAATGAATTCTGATGCTGCAAAAGTTGCACTCATGACGGCAAAAAGTAAAGAAAATCCTAATAACAATGTTGTCTTGCCACTATTATACAATGATTGTTCCGTGCCTCATTCAAATCCCACTAATAGAAATAATGAATGCACTGTCATCGATCAGATTGGAAGTTTGGAAGGTATATTTCAAGCCACATCTGGAATGGATACTTTTAATAGTACTACAAAAATTTCTAATAAAGAGATTCAGCCTATAAATGATCAGGTAAGATATATTTGAACAAGACATGATTCGAAAACAAATGCTTTTCATTTATTATTCTCTGTTATACAGTGATTTAGATCTGTGTGTGCCACTTATACAGTCTAAGTATTTAAGGATTTCTTACTCATACCTGGTTATCTGACAGTCTTCTGCATAAGAGTAACACAAAAGGCTGTTAGTCATAACATTGCAGATTTACTATTTAATTTAAACGGTAAGATTATTATTTAATGACACTTATTTTCGATTGGGAGCGAAATACTACTACTCATGACTAAAATTTGAAAACTATTCGGAAAGTTTGAGTAAACAGTAGTTGTTAGTGCCTTACTGGTATTGTTATATTCCTCTACTTTTTCTTTAAAATCAATAAAAACATCTTTTTATAATGCACAGTAAGCATTGAGTATTAATTCTGAGTGTAAACTGAACCAGTGTTCATTATATGATTTATATTCACGCTTTTGTCACGCAAGGTAATTTGAGCTGCATTCACTTATGAGCATTACAAAGTTTTCAACTTAAAATATGAAAAGAAATAGACTTCGGCTGACATTTTACGCCTTCCGACTGAAAGCATGCAACTTTAAAAGTTATTTTTATAAAAAACAAATTTGAAAGTTGCGTTTGTTGCGCATTCATTGATAGAAGAGAAGAGTTTCAAATAACTAGTCTCAGCAGACGATAACTTCCTTTTAAAGTTTTTCTTTCCTTATGGGAAATATTTAAATGAATTTATTGAATTTTCTTTTAATATGGATGAGCTTAATGATTAAACTTAACGAATTCTGAATAAATTAATTTAACTAAGGAGAGAGAATTCTTTTGGATTTTTTTGGTTACTATTATGCAGTAACAAACCATTCCAATGAGCCTATTTTTTGGATATCAATAACGCTATTAAATAAATTCTGATACTGGACATTCCTGCCAAACTGACTTTCGATTCTAGTGAAACTAAATCTGTCGGTATTACAAACAGAAGGATGAAAACACATAAAGTTGTAGTAAATTTTATGTTTAGTTGTATTAACGTTAAAACCCTGTAACTACTACTGTTCTATCATCATTAATTACTAGAAAACAAATAATTTTCCTTCAAGTATACAGATGAAACATCCTCTCACCTTCATTTATAATATATACTTGACGTTATGTATTACAAATAACAAAATACGCTTTATGATTGGCGATTTTATCTCTTCATTCTTTGCGTTTTGAATAGAATAAAGGGCCTAATGTTTTCAAGTTTCAGTAGCTATGATGTTGCTGTTCACGGTGTGAGCAGCCAGTGTCAAGCTTAAGCTTTTTTCTTTTCCGACCTTATTGATGACTAGTAAACTGCTTAAAGTTTAGGAATGCTTTGGAAGGGAATCGAACCCATACTTCCAGTTTGGTTGGCAAACATTCGACCATTAAACTACTGACGCCCAATGATTGATAGTGACAGATCTAATGCTCTGTGATGTCCATAGTATTAATGCGATCAAGAATTCCTGTGTTTCCAGTATAAAAGTGTATGCACTCACTGCAAATCGATTTGTGACATATATTCATAGCAGTAGGAATTACGATCACTCAGAATACATCACCATACATCAACATCAACAACAGAATTCGGATTTTCAATACAAACGTCAAGTCACTTCTTCTATACAGATCAGAAATTTGGCGGGTCAAAAAGAATATTTCCAACAGGTTGCAGACCTTTATCAACAGCTGTCTTTGCTCTATACTGAAGATCAGAATCACCAACAAGAAACTATGGGAACGAAGAAAACAAGAACCAATCGCCCAACAAATATGCAGGAGAAAGTGGAGATGGATTGGACACTCGCTGAGCTGAGGAGGCCGCTGGGTGACATCGCACGTCAGGCCTTCGAGTGGAACCCGAAAGGGAAGTGGCGAGTGGGACGTTCAAGGGTGACATGGAGGATATCATGTCAAGAGGACTTGAAACAGTATGGACTAATATGGATGCAGGTGAAAAGCACAGCAGAAGACAGAAGCAAGTGGAGACGTGCAGCTGAAGCCCTCTGTTCCACTAGGAACCCAAGGGAACAATAATAATAATAACAGAATACATTATATATCATGAAGTCTATTGTTAGTCAAATTAAATCATCTTTTCACTATTCATTGTTAACGTTTTATGAAGCCATATATTATAATTAGTTTATTACTTAAAATACATTTAAGTTAGTGAGCATTCGATAATTACTCCAACATACTCGTCATAATGAGTCGAAAGTGTGACACGTTCTTGATGTTGTTTTAATTTTTTTTTATTCCTTTGCTTTCCCAATAGAACATATGGCTTCAAGCTTTAGCTTTGGAGTTTCTGTAGCAGGTGTGTTTTTTAAGGGTTGGGGTTGTTAGCATCAAGCATAGCCTTTCCTATTTGTCGAGATTGTAACGGGCTAAAGAAGGTGAATTTGTGCACTGGCCGGAACTCGAACTCCGGACCACATGCATGATTGACCAGCACTCTACCGCTGAACCACCGACGCACGTTCTTGGTGTAACTCATAACACTAATCAAAACTTTACTTATGATTACGCCACTTTTCAACATTCATATTTGGACAGTGATCGCAATGTAACGTCGATAGTAATGAAAATTATTGGTATAGCTATTATTGATGCTTATCCTGGGAATATATATATATATATATATGCATATACTCAGACAGTTTAGATTTTAAAGATTTCTATTTGATTTATGGAATAATAATATTCAGAACAGAAGATGAGTATTCTTTTTGTCAATTTTATTTTAGTCTTCATCGATTTATTCACATATTGATTCTGATTCAACTGTCAATGAATTATCTCAGTTCCATTTGGATAGATTCAATCCAGTTTTATCACCAACATCACAGTGCGAACACTCAGGAGCTAGAAGAAATGACTTATCCTTACAGAATAATATTGATAATAAAAATAATATGAATGGAAGAGAAGTATTTCATGACTTTTCACAATCTAACAACTTATCTTTTGCAACCAACTCTCTTTATCCATTCATGACTAAAACAAATGACCTTGTCAGTTCGCCTTCACCAAATCCCCATGGTAAGTATCCATTTTACTGAATGTACTACAAGAAATTTTCGGCACATCAAATAAATGTTTCCAATGCCAAATTATTTGCTTCCGAATGAGTCTTGTTAATTACTCGAGTATATATTTTGCTTTAGATGTAAATACGCAATGTTTTCTTTTAATTTCTAAAATGAAAATAGATTTTATTTTTCTTCCTTAATGTGTTACGCAACCAAGTGTACATTCAATCTAAAATGAAGTATTCCCTGGGCTGAGTATAAAGTATAAATTTCATCAGACCAAGAAATTAAGTTTCGAAGTCTATGAACAACATTATTTACATTGTAAACTTCCTGATTTGTTTTCCAGAAAATATTAGGATTTGTTATTTTGGGAAGGTAGCATTCTTGCATTTTGTTCACACAGACTTAGAAAGATACTGGGAAGTAGCAATATATGAAGTTATACGCAGCCATGCAGTACGGCTGCAAAAAACTACAGTTCTAAAAATGAAAGCAGTTAGGACGAGGGAGAGGTTGAACAGTGAACCTACGTTCGTCAAATCCACACCTATCATGTGCTATGGGAATGACACAACCCTGATAACAAAGGCAATTAAAGTGTTATTACCAAAACTGTTATCAAGGGATAAGAAATAGCCGGAACATGTGAACGAAATCTGAACATTACGTGAGCACACTGATATGATTACTAGCGAAATACTGTCTATAAAACCTCATCAGTGAATAAATAATACTGTGGCGGTGTGTGTTTTATCAAGTAAAACTACTCGACAGTGGGATTATACTCTACCATAGTGCCCAAATTCCATTCTTCTACACCTTTCCCTTTTCCTTATGATTTATGATATACAGGATCCCCATATGTTTAAGAATTACCTATCATCCGTTCAAATGTTTGGTTATATTATAAACTTGTACAATATTTCTGTAGATTTACTAGTTGAAGTTACAACCTATGCCTTCAATGGACTATGATGGAATATGAAACAGAGAAGACGTTCAGCGAAAAGACTCTTTTCGGCGAATTCATTCACATAGCTGTATAATCGCATTTATATATAATTATTTGAGTGTATGTATGTATATGAGGTTTGTCAAGTTTAGATAATTGATCAGGTATTACAAGAGTGATGTAATATAGTGACAAAGTTAATCAGACATCAACTAAAGTAAGATTGAGTTAGTAAGCTAGATGACGTAATACACTTGACTAAAATGTTTCAAGTTAGGTCAGGGTAGCAACAGAGGTAATTACAGGTAGAGACTAAGTAGAAGTGGAGTAGAGAATAATGCCATTTAAATTAGAACTGAAATTGAGCAAATTAATTGGATGACGTGACATAAATGACTGGAAATTGAGCGTTAGTCAAGTCAGTAACAGTGGTAATGAAGTGTAGAAATTAAATCGGGTGAGGTTAGAAAACAGGAAAGTTTAAAATGTAAAATATTACAGTTGTAAAGACAAAATAATACTAATGAAGAGACAGAAAAAAGATTAGGTAGAATTTACTTGTCAGGTAATAAGATAGATTACGTCCATTGCAAGTGTAGTGATTGAACGAACTTCTTCTGTATGCGGAGTTCAGGACTTAGCAAGTATATCGCCATTGCTTCTGCAGTTTGAAGAAGTCTGATTCGTACACATTTAGGAAGACTACTTCGTATTATATAGATAATTCTTGTATTACCGGATCAATTATCTAAACTTGACAAACCTCATGTACACACACAACCACAAATAATTATATATAAATGCGATTATACAGTTATGTGAATGAATTCACTGAAAAGAGTCTCTTCGCTGAACGTCTTCTCTTTTTCATATGAATCAATGGAGATTTTTATGCTATGATGGAATAGGTAGTAATATTTATTGTCATATCGAGGTTATACTGAAATCATTTTCGATGGGAATGACCTCTCAGAAGCCTTTCAGATATTACCTATTTTGATTATAATATAAGTGTAAACAGCTTTATTTTTCAGTTTCATACAAATCTGTAAATTTATTTTCTGCTAAAACTCAAGATTCTATTTTCTTAACATTAATATCTTTGAAAAAACTCAAAAACCAAATTTCATCACTTTTAGTGCGTAGAATTTTTTTTATATTTATATGTACTTTAGCGATTTCATAGCTGACTAATTCAAGAGTTTGTGATGGAAATAAAGTGACCAGAAGGCGTTTTACGTTTCTTGTTGACCACTACTTAAATACTACTGAACATGGTTCCCTTTAAGTTTTACTCATCCTATTATTATTATTATACAGTAAAGACTCTATCCCATTCAGTCTGCAGTTATTGCTCAGGCACTTTCTTTTCTACACTGAATTAGTAACAAGTAATCCTGATTTGTGCAGTGATGTTGATTCATTCTATACCAGCACAATAACTTTCTTCCTAATCTTCTGGTTATACTTGCTTAGTAAGTAAACAGTTCACGAATTAATCTAACAAAACTAATTATTTAATATGAAATGCTGGAATATCTGCAAACCCATTAAGCTCACTGAATCACCACTTTTATAGAAAATATCTACAGCAGTAACTAGTATAGCTAATTCAAATTAATAATATGTCACTGTTTATATTCCCAGTGAGATATATATCAGAGTAATAACCAGCGGTAATGTAAATATGCAATACAATTTGGGTATAGACCACCCGGATATGAATCTAATTGCTTTAATAAACTATAGTAAAGCAATATTAGTTTCATATTATCCTCTTATCCATGATACCTCATTGTGTATATCTTTATTATTTTCCTTTGGTATAGGGAAACAGACCAAGTATTTATTCAAAATTTAGGTAGCAGATATAGATAACTAAAGGCTGATAGATACAATTTGGTATTTAAGTCACTTGGCTTAAAAATATTACGATTCAACGTTTGAGAGCTATCACAAATCCAATTTAAATTCATTTCAAGTTACTCCAAAAGTACTAAATCCTATCAGTGAACTTCCTTCTAAAAGTGCAGAATTTTTCGTTTGAATTAGAGCCAGGAACACATTCGCTAATCCACAACTGGCAAAAGGGGCAGATGACGAAGAGACCATCCTGAAATTATCCGTTTTACTGTCGAACATCTTGATCCAGTGGTTAACGGATAAATTGCACGTATAGTGTTACCCGTTTTATTTGAATTCTTCAGCAGTACCTGCAACACAACTTCTTTACACTACACTTCGTCCATTATATATAAAATATTAGCAGTCATCCCTTTAATCCATGAAAATGAAATTAAAAACAAACTGACCCGAGCCCGTGAGAACAACTCATTTAATTACACTAAAACATGTTGTGTGTACATTATAAATCCTCAGAAACTTAGGCCAGCAAATAACTAATTTAATTAGTTGCACAAGGTTTAGCTTCAAGGCTGTCCAAATATATCATAATAAGCAACCAAGTGGTTTAATTTGTTAACTCTTTTATAAGGTTATTTTAGCTAATTTTAGCCACTCCCTATCACACAGAGTGATGCAGTATTATTTGCTAATGAGGTTTCGAGCACAATTTATTGTTCATAATCATGCCATTTTGAAATGATCATATGTTGATACTGAGCACAAGGTTGATGTGAATACTGCATTCAAAATTATTTATCGCATTCCGACTAATCTCAGAGTTCGTCTTCTACAGACAGCAGAAGCAATTGGAATCCACCAGAAGAAACCAAGCCTATGTGTACAGAAGAAACTTGTACAGCCACTTTGCTTACCGTGGCCATCGTTACAAGACAGGACTACGTCGCCCCCCTCCCCCTATTAAATTATAATTGTCCAAATTATTTTATTTTTATTTTTATTTTGACCACTTCATCTTTAATTACGTGTTATTCTTGTAAAATTAATTTATTCTATCCATTTCTACTTTTTAAATGTGTATTGATTTTCTGCGTTAATTATCAACCCATTGACATTTTGACACTGTCTAATTATTGTTAACAAACATATCGCCACTTGTTTGGTAAATTGTTGTGTATTGTAAAAATGCTATATATATTAGAGTAGAGCCAGAGAAGAGGATCTAATCGAAAAGTGAATATTTCTTCGCTCAATCTTTTGTGTTTTCCAAATGTCTAAATGGGGATATTTTCTATATTGAAATCGTCTTCAGTAGGTCAGTCTAATTATCAATACTGCACCGCCTAATATTGAAGCTAAAGCCAATGTTGTCAAGAAGAACAATGAAAGCTTTGCAATAAGATCTGCCAGTTTAGAGAAAACAACACAGAAATCGGTAGTGTAACATACACGCAGTGAACGTTTCTTAACAAGAGTTACAGTGAGCGACCATCTCGACACACTAAGACCTTTATATAGAATACTAAGTTTTAATGGGTGGTTATTTTCACACAGTTTTATTGTCATTTAGTCCCCATATAAACAATTACTAATCAGCTGAAACGAAGACATTTCTCTTGCCCATCGATTGTCATAATGTATCGAATTCTAAGAAACGTCAATACCGTTCGCGCATTGTGTATGTTATTTTCTTCCTATTTCGATATTATGATCACATTTACGTTGATAAATTGCAGTTTCTGTTTCATTGAGATGTCAGGAATTTTAGTCTTATACAACATACTTATACTATAAAGAAGTGACAGAAATATGAAGAGCCTAACAGATGAAGAATAAACAAATCGCTATTATGAGACAATCATCTGATTATGTTGTTTATTCTGTTTGATAATCTGTCGACAGCCAGATACAGATACAGGCTTCTTTTATGAACTATACTTAAACCTGGTTTTCATTTTCATTCTGTACCACATTGGATAATTCCTTTTTTGATATCTTATAGAGCTCAAAAATCAGTAAAGTTCACCCATATAACACTTCGCTGTTCAAATTTACTACTTGATTATTTAACACTTTATAAAATTAGTCACCTGAACAATTTTGTTATGGTTATTTTTTTGACCTAGAATTATTATGGCATCAATCGCAACCAGGATTGATTATTAATGATACCAATTCATTCTATACAACTGTACCACCATTTCGACACTTACAATATCCTTTCAATCCTTCAGATCAAACTAAACCAGTCCATCTGAATATGCCTATTTATGAACCCAGTGGTGTTAATCATTTCCAGCAAGTTCCTTTTATTCCAAATATTTATCCAATAAACGGACAACAATTGTTGTGTGAATCAAATCCACTGACCTCGTTTCCTACACCGTATACATCGTATGCAGATAGTTTAACAGCTGCACTTACTTTACAACAGTGGGTTGAGCATATGAGTAAGCCGGCTAAAATAAAAAACATGGATACAAAACAATGCGAAGAAGTATACAAAAGGTCAGAAACTCAACCGAAACTAAAAAAGAATGATTTACATCTGACTAAAAATGAACAACAGAATTTATGCAGTGAAAATAACCGACATCACAAAAGTCCACGAGAAAATGTAAGCTTTCTTTTACCTTCAAACTTGTGTATAGTAATATTTAAAGGTGAAAGACTGTGACATTCAAACTAATATGGCATTTTACTCAACTTTTTAGACATATCATACAATTAGTTCCCTTAACAGATTAGAATAACACAATAAGAAAAACTCTTACATGAATTAAAATTTTCTAGGAAAGTAATCTAGACTGGGAAATGTTAATTGCCAGGAGAGTACAGATACACTGGTCACTTTTATTGAAGGTAGAAGGTTACGTTATAATGAGCTTTTTCTCAATGATAACCATTAAGTTAAATACATTTGCAGGCATATTTAGATATACTGTGGAGCATTCCACTGCCTACTCAACCACTACTCAAAGAATATCATTTGTAACAGAAATCTAGCACCGGCATACTTATGATTACTAATTCAGATGTTACAAAAGTTAAAATTTGTAGGTGTGAGAAACTTAACACATCTGACAAGGCGAACCCTTATGAAAATTCCCATAGTAAATTAAATTGTGGTAATAGTCTGTCACCAAATTCACTTGCTAATGATGCAGAATGAAAATAACCTCTCCCCTTAAAATGAAACCTGCACGAAGTTTAATTTTACTATACTCACCATTAGCAAATAAAATTAGAAGCAACAGAATTTAGTTGTAGTCAAAATTCCGAGATGAATTATTCTTTTACTACTTTTAAACAATTCAGTAGTTCAAAGTATTTCATGTGTTTTTTCAGCTTAGTTCAAGTTTTGCTGATAGTGGAGTGGACCTTCCAAATACAAGTAATCTTGAATCGGATATTCCAGAACATAATTCAAGCAAGAATGACAGCCCACAAGAAACAAATCGCAGGACAACGAATAGTACAAGACTCATGGAAAAAGTTACATCATAGTCATCTAAAGAATCTTTCATCTTTACTTGACACTCATTGTTTACAGAGTCAGCATTTTTTTTTAATAAAAGCATCCATCTTGCACTAACATATTTCAGTTTATATATACATATATATAACCTATATAGGTACTCAATTATGTACAATGATTTTCTATTTTTATGAACCTCTATGAGAGGATTGTTCAACTATGTATTTATATATCGACATGACTATTGCATGAATGCTTTCCTCTAATAATTGAATAAATTATATTTTCTAGATTGAATTTTCTCCTTAAACAGTTACAAATAATAAAGTGCATCTAAGCGTTCATTGCATTCAGCAAAATTGTTTACTAAAAGTTTATCATTATTGTATGAAATGAAATTACAATATTCAGATGCAGTATCATTTATTGCAAACGATACGTTTCGCTTCACTGTAAATGTGAAGTGTATGAAAAATTATAATCACCTAGTCAAAAGACAACTGTTTCCAACAGTAAAAGTAAATCGGTGAGGACTCACCCTATGTATTATAGAACTCAAATATTGCGTAGGAGATACAGTAGTGTCACTTAGTGCGATAACAACCGTTATCTTGGGAGCATTAAATGATATTTAGTTTGGCATTTTCTACAGATGTGTACAAATCCTTCAAATTACATCTTGTTGATTACAATCAGTGATTAATAAGTAAATAAGATCCTAGTGAAATCCTGGTTTCCGTCATAGGAATTTTCCATTCATTCCAACCTCTCCTTTGAAATATTCATGAGAATTTGCTAACCTGAAGTTTTCCCAGATAGACTGTTCAGTATATTCTCTTACTGTAATAATTTGCAGCAAATATTTTCTAGCAGTTAGAGAATTAAAGGTCACAATTAAATCATATCCTCTGCATTTTCAAAACTACGCAAATTTGAAGAAGAAGTATTGAGTCAAATGAACAATGACGAATGCTGGTAACAGTTATAATTTCATTGAGACAGACTCTAAATTATTATTGTTTATCTAGAGGAATGTCAGGTATATTTCATTTGAAACACTAGATTACTAACAAACATACCAAACATTATTCGTTGAATTTTACGTTCAAACACAGGTAATTAACCAAACCCACTACTGAGCCCATACAACTGTTAAAATCTGAGGGGAACTTTTTCCAAACCACTTTCTTTACTATGACCAGAGTATTACAGCGGTAAATAATAACTAACCATCCATGCACAACATGTTTCGTGTCTGCCGACGTATCTAGACGTCAGAGGAAATGACAGTTGCGCAACCATTCATTGAAAGGAACACTGATGTCCATGAAATAATGGATTTGGCGCATGAGAGATTCGGCAAAGTTATCCTATATGATGATATTTGGAATATGCGATCTAGGATATATAAACGTAAGTCTTATCAAAATAAATGTGACAGTGGAATAGAAATCGGGAGTTTACAAGACCTGCTTCATCGACTGAGGTAGACAGGTCTAGTTAGTGTTCTTCATGACAATGCAAGTTTCGTATCAAAAATCATTTTCGCTCGTAATGATATGATAGACGTCTATCATAAGTTTCCAGAAGTAGTTGGAATTGACTGTACTCATAAAACGAATAAGATGAAGTAACTGGCAGTACAGGGTATAATTTGTTCTCCAAACTTATTACGTATGGCCTTTATATCAGTTTGTTGTGACTGATGGATTTGGAAGAGGAAAGACTGCTTTATTTACTTTTACTAGGAGGGACAACTTTTCAGATATCGAGATCTTGCAAACGTTTAAGGGGCTTATGAGTGATATATCCAAAACAGTAACATTCACTGTCGACTGTGCAACTGCACAGATGAGTGTTGTAAAGGAGATGTTCCCTAGATGCAGCATTGTTTTATGTCTTTTCCATGTATGCCAGGCGTTCAGGAGGAAGCTAAGTTTCATTCTCATAAATGAACATAACCAAAACAGTTCATAAATCAACGTGTTAAGAAGTGGTTGTATAGAATGGCGCACAGTTGTAACGAGAGAAGACAAGGGCCAGGCAACAGATTGCTTATTGAGAAAATCAAGAGGTATTTATGGATTTTTATGTACATTATTGTTACCAGAGAAGCAACCTCTTCTGATTGGTCGTTTTCTTGATGAAGGTTATTCTGTTATCTCTTTGTGGCCGTTTCTCAGAAAATCAAGCCAAATGTCTGCGAATCATATTTCCACACGTTATCTCCGCTGTGATTGACCGGTGATTTTCTCGGGGCTATGCTTTGTTATTGTTTTCCTCATGACCCTGATTCCGGACGTTAACTTTGACTCAAGTTGTTGTCTAGTATTTAGCTTGCAACCAGCTCTCACCACACAGTTATGACAGGTAAGTTAAGAACTCAGAATGTATTGCAAAAGGTTTTGGAGTTACCTAAACCTCACAGGTATGATAGTTTCTGGGGCTGGTGCCTACATCAGAAGTTACTTGTTGAGAACACGGAAATATTGGGCTGCATTGTGTAACCAGTTCATCATAAGCATGGAGAACGATATTAAAAACAGGGTGGAGAATGCTCATATGCATCTGAAAAGGTATTTACGTAAAGGCGATCCGCTGGAACTGACACTGTGAAAAATACACAGGTGAATTGACCACACAACCATACTTAAATTACGTGAGAGCCAGTGGATGCTTTGTAAATATTACAATTACGATGTAAGTTTCAAGATAATTTACGATTTTTCCTAGGTGCATACCTCACTGCAGCCTATATCATGGCTTTTCACACCCTTTGCTGCCAAGAAAGTTGTCTTAGCTGTCTTTAAAACGGTTGCTTTTGACAAGCCATTTTTGCAGTGAGCCAAAGCCGTCAGCGATTTTGTAAATAGTCCCTTTAACTGAAAACGAACTACTAAATGTCTTCCATTATTCCCAGTGACTCTGATATGTTCTGCCAGTTAAGATGAGTCTGCTAGCTTTATTCAGCAAATGTATCATGTAGGCCTTAGTGTGACAGTTAGAAAGCTTGATAACCTCGAGTAATTATTCTACGTTTCAATAAAAGTTAGGTAATATTTAATACGACTATTCGTATGGTTTCATCAAGCCGTGTATATATCACATGATTTTGGCACAAACCTTAAATCGTTAGGAATCACCAACTTTTCAAATAACCTCTACCAAAGCCTATGTAGCGGCCCTATATTAACTCTATCTGTACGCTTATAAAACTAATTCCTGTACTCATATTATACGTTTACACACTAAGTTTACATATGTTTGTCACATATTTGTGTCATGAAGGGCACTGCCAACAAACTACAGACCTTCATCAACGGCTGTCTTCGTTCACTACTCAAGATCCGATGACCAGAAAAGATCAGCAATAGTGAGGGATCTCTGGGAGCGAACCAACCAGGAACCAGCTGTGCAACAATTATGCAGGAAGAAATGGAGGTGGATTGGCCATACTCTGAGAAAACCATCAAGTGACATCACACACAAGACCATCTCTGGAGTGGGACCTGACTGGGAAGCGGCAGCTGGTCGTCAGTGCGAGGGTGACACGGGGGAGGTTATGTGAAGAGGAGATGAAAGCATGTGGGAAGACGTGGAGCCAGGTGAAAACATTGGCAGAGAACCGAACGCAATGGAGACGTGCGGCTGAAGCAATAATAACAAATAGTAATACATACATACATATTTTGTGTGGCTACAAGCTCTTCGAAGTTTGATTTCGTTAGTAATACTTCTTTTAAAATTTTCATTTGTGCATCTTAATAAAATGTGGTTGGACATTCAGTTGTATACAACGCTACCACACCCTAGAACGTGAAAACGTGGATGTACTAGTACTACAGGCATAGTGTTAGAAACAATCGTATATATGACATAGTCCGAACTAGCAGACTATTCATTTTTTTAACTTTAACCACCACGGCAACGTTCCTACACACGAAACAAGATAGAAGAACCGTTGGTGAAAGCTTTTACTATCTTAAGTGACAATTCATACGCAGTTGGGAAAGAAGTTGAACATATACTATTTGTATTACTTTGACATCACTAAGATCAGATTTAAGACTCCGTTACGCGTAAGAATACGAACAATTTGAAGATTGCAGGTATATCACACAGAATTAGCCAATATAGGAGATGGGGATGGTGAAACAGAAGATGAAACCATGCAGAGATGGAAAAAAGAAGTATGTGGGTTGAGTGTGCATCGCATTGAATAAAGAAGTGAAGAGAAGTTTGAACAAAGACAATTCTGTAACACACTGGCAAGTGAAGCAAAACAGGCCGCAGGTAAAAGAGACCTCAAAAACTTGGTAATAACAATAGCTTCATTCCATACAGTACTCCTGATAAAATTTGGAGTTTTAAACATGCAATAAATCAATGTCAATAAAAAGTTTGAGCATTGTGAAATAAATCAAATAAAGTATAATTATATTTCAATAGTTTACACACAATGTGTAATAAATTATTGCATCTAATTTTCTCACATGAGGGGTGATAATTAAAACAGGGTATTTCCACTGATAATAGTGTTAAATGGTCATGTAAATTTAAAATTAAGTGAAAATATTAACAACGACATACTAATTAAAGAAAGAATGTAGGTCGTCGTTTGTCAAGGGTTTCGCATTAGCTTATTAGCGTGCTGCCTTATAATTTTTGCATCACATAAAATGTGTGCCAAATAAGTGACTGTAGAGGTTTTTTACTTGGTCATCTCGGTATATGGTCTTCTGTAGTTGCTTCTAGTCCTACCTGGTGAGATATAAGGAGAGATTTGTTTATGGAGCGGATGCTCAGAGTTCAACAGTATGGTATTCGCCAATTTGTGCACGGGTTTGCGGTGCGAACTGACCCCAACGCCATTTTGCGTTTTTCCGTTGTGCCATCTATACGCACGTTCTTTGAGTTTGCAATAAAACTACACCCGTTAGATAAGTTGCAGACCTTTATCCTTGGATAATCTTGACGTTTTATTTTTCTCAAACATACGGTGCATTTGAGCACTTTTTTCCTCATTACC